AGGGAGGAAGCGGCGGGGCTGGACCACCCACGGCGGAGTTGGGGTTTCCCAAGCAGTGAGAGGCGGCCTGATCCAGCGACGGCCGGTCCCATTCCCTAGCTACCTGGGGCGGGGGACGGGGCGGGGGGCGAGGGGACACGGACGACCCATGACACTTGCAAAATGAGGGCCGCAGCAGCAATTGTACAGGTGCTGGGCCCACGGGCCCACACTTAGGATAGCAACTTGTCACTTAGTACTTTTTCTTTCTTTCCTGTAGTGGCCGGATAGAGACGCTAACACGCGCTCATTTACCGCCTCCCCCCCATCCCCCCCTGTAGGAGATGACACATGGGGTCTCAGCATTCCTCCTCTGCCCGCGCCTTTTGCCAGCGAGAGGAGGATGGCAGCCCGGAGGACTTGCTGGCTGATAGAGAGCAGGAGGAAGCCATCGCTCAGTTCCCCTATGTGGAATTCACTGGGAGAAATAGCGTCACCTGTCACACATGCCAAGGAGCGGGCTACATCCCAGCAGGTGAGACGGGGTCAGGCATCGTGGAAAGCGCTCTCTCTGGTGTCTGCTCCAGCCAGCCTCCACCTTGTCGTCACAGACTGCCCCGAACTGTAGCCCGCTCGGCTGACCTGATAAACCTGGGCAGATGGCAGGCCTCTCTTGATCATACATTTGGAAACCTTCCTTTTCTTCACCTCTACTCTGTGATTACCGCCATTAGTTTCTTCTCCGGTCGCTGTGATAAAAAATACCCTGACAGAAGCAGTTCCGGGCAGAAGGGTTTATTCTTGCATCCCAGCCCCGGGTCATGGGCCATCACTCAGGGGAAGTCAGGACGGCGGACTTTAAGATTGCCCGGTCACATTATAGTCCTAGGAAGCAGAGAGCAAGGAATGCGTGTACTCAGTCTTCCCCTGCCTTTTCAGTGAGTCCAAGACCCAGCGTGTGAAACGGGTGCCACCCCCATTTAGGGAGAGCCTGCCGACTTCATTTAACCCAGTTAAGAAAAATCACTTACAGACATGCCTGCCAGGCAGCCTAACCTAATCTAGACAGTGCCTCCTCGAGACTTCCCAGGTTCCTAACAGTAATGTCACTATCACCTCGGCCCCCCCCCCCTCTGGTTTCGTACATTTATTTCTCTGCTGTGGGATTTGTTGACAAGGCTGTTTCTCTACTGACTGACACAGCATTGTGGAGGAACTATCCTGGAAGCTTCTTTACAAAAAAGGCACAGTGACTCAGTAGCCTGAGGTCAGCAGAATACCGGGGGTGGGGAGGGACCCAGGCTCCGGAGTGGAGTCTGGAGTGTCTCTAGGAGCAGCTGTGACTAAATTGACCCTGGCTGGGGGTTGGGGGGAGTTCCAGAGTTCAGAGGTATTAAGAGCGTTGGAAGCCATGTACTCCAGAGCTCCAAATGAACAGTGAGGAAACTGACTTTAGGACATTCCGCGACTTTGCCAAAGACAGTACAGTAAGAATACGACTCTGGGTCCCCCAACCCCAGTGCCACGCCTGACAGTGCTGACCGATATTTTATAATTTGTACCATTCTCTATGGGTGTGTGTTTCTTTTTCCCCCCAGCTTCCTTTTTTTCTTTTTCTTTTCTATTTCTACACGTGCCTGTTTCTTGTTCATTCAACCAAAAATATACTTTTTAGTGTCTGGTCCCAGACGAATCTTTGCTGTGGCCGTTAGCAGCGAAATGTGAAGAGAGGGGCCTGCCTATACGTGGGATTTACAGACTGAGTCTTTGCTGCTTTTCTAGAACAACTCAATGAGTTGGTGGCTTTGATCCCCCACAGTGACCAGAGGCTGCGTCCTCAGAGAACGTGAGTTGGCCGGCTCTCAATCTGTTCACACCTCTTTCTGTCCCTGACTCCTTTTTTATGAAAGACTACCAGTTAATTATTCGAAAAAGATGCCTGTCCTTGTACCTGTCCCATTTCCTTTTTCTATTTATTTACTATTATTACGTACGTACGTATGTACATGTGTGTGTGTGTGTGTGTGTGTGTGTGTGTGTGTGTGTGTGTATGTGTGTGTGTGATACTGGGACTTGAATCCAGACTCTTTTGCATGCTAGACAAGCACTCGTCCACAGCACTAGACCCTACCCATTCCCATTTCCTTTAGTGCTTTTACTTAAGTGAAACGTCCCTGTCCCTGTGCCACGGACTGGCCCACCGGGAGTACCATGACCGTAGGAGAATCAGGGCTTGGGTAGTCAGGAAGGCAAGGATTCGGCGACTGACAGACAGACAACAAACACACTCAAAAGTGGTTTGAATCTGCTGCAATTTTACTTCTGCAAATCAGTAGTTTATATACAGAAAAGAAAACTATCAAGTCATACAGGGAACAACAAGAGCTTGGCAATAATTCAATTACATCATCTTTAAAAAACATCAAGCACACAGTTACTAATCGGCGCTAGACATATCCCTTCACTCACAAGAACTTTATGACCCAAAGAGCAGTCTGTGTTTTTTAAACTTAGTACAGTTCCTAGACTTGTGTAGGCTTCTTGTAGCTGTGTCCTTCATCTTTATCTCAGCCGCTCGCTAGTTTATTATTCATTTTTACTTTTCTGGTTCTCATGACCCATTTAGCCAATTTGAATGCTGCAGATCCTCCCTAAGTATTTCTTCAGTTCTTTACCATATATCTCTTCTAATATAAAACCTTTTTACCTGCTGGAATATGGACACTTGTACTTTTACACCTGTAAGGGGAAAGGGTTCTGCTGTAGTCCTTAAGTTTTCCATGCTGAACTTCCTCAACAGAGGGGCCCACTATCTGCCTCCTATGAGATAATGTTTTCTGCCATAAATCTCTTTAGTTGGGATTCCTAAAGGATTCCTAGTGGGTGAGTGTTCATTTCCTAGAAGTGCCTGAACTATTATACTTTCTATTATCTAGTGGCTTGAGGCTTGAGGTCTTTAAGGAATAGTTCATTCTGCTATATCTAAATAAGGTCCATGTCCAGCTTCCCCTTTCCTCCATAGTTCACAACCCAAGCATTCATTAATTTTGGCTGTGTTTTATAGATTAATTAGAACATTATCAGGAAAGCAGTTATACAGAACCCATAGCCCAGAGAGCTCATGATCTGTGAAGCACGTCTCCTTCGAGAAGGAGGCATAACACGGGCACTCTGCCAGGGACCTCCAGGGAGCTTAGTCCCGTGGGACACATATCTCCCGTCCGCTATTATTGACATAATTGTTCATGTCACACGGACGACACTGGAGTTGGTGTGGCATCCCTGTTACCATCTGGGAAAAGAAATGCGAAGCTAGGAATATGTTGAGGGTCAGATGGAAGGACGGGATTGGAAGGAGCTGGAGAAGCGGGGGGTCCTGGGAGATGAGCAGATGTTTTAGGAAGTAAAGGGGTCAGTTTCTCTTCTCAGAGTAAGTGGTGTCCACATGGGTTGAGAAGTCCTCTCCTGCTCCCTGCCTTCCTGCCTAGTTTGTGCTTCCCTTTCACACGCACGCACGCACACACGCACGCACGCGCACACACACACACACACACCTGCCCCGTTTGCATCCGTTATGACCGTGTAGACCTTGACAGCTGACTACCCGACTTCGCCCTGTGCTGTCGTTTACAGCAAACAGTATGTTCTTCTGTCGGTCCTGCTCTGTCTCCTGGCCTCTGGCTTGGTGTTCTTCTTCCTGTTTCCACACTCCGTCCTGGTGGACGACGATGGCGTCAGAGTGGCGAAAGTCACATTTAATAAACAGGACTCCCTTGTGGTGCTCGATGTCACGGTAAGACGGACGTTGGCCCTCACTTCCTGGGTTGTGCGCCGGCCAGCCTTGGGGGACCGGGACACATAACACTCATTTCCTCCTGTGCCCTCTCCAGGCCACCCTGAGAATCAGGAACTCCAACTTCTATTCTGTGGCAGTGACCAACCTGTTCAGCCAGGTTCAGTACATGAAAGCCGTGGTGGGCACATACATGACCACTAATGTCTCGCTCATCCCCCCTCGGAGTGAGCACCCGGTATGCTGTTCTTGAAGGGCCTCCGCACACACACACACCAAGGAGGAGAGTGGATGCTGTGGGGATGCCCGGGGAAGGCTGTACTTCCTTCCCTCTTCTCTCGTTTCCGCCCGAGGAAGGCCTGGTGGGCTCTGTGACTATGGACCATTGGGAAGCGACAGAAACAGCTAAAACCACTTGATAAGAGAGAGACAGTTGTCAGATCAGGAAGAGGTGGGATTACAGCCTGAAGCCCAGAGGCCTCCAAAGGGAAGGGACCGGAAGTCTTCCTCCAGGCTCCCAGGCTGTGGAAGGAGGGTGGCTTGTATGGGATGGAGGAAGGAGCCAGCGTCTGTAGGTTGATAGCAGTAATGCTGTTATGCCAAGCTTGCTTATCACAGACTGATGCCAGGTCTTGTTTCATTTCCAGGTGAATTTTACGGTGAAGGCTGAGGTCGGAGGACCATCTTCCTATGTGTAGTAAGGACAGAGTTCTCTGTGCTGTGCTGTCTGCCTGGAGAGATTCAGAGTCCTCCTGGACCGACTGTGTCCCTGGCTCTGCCCTAAGCCCCAGATTCGGCCTGTGGACTCCTGAGCTTTGGCTTTCTGGAGAGTCTGGGGGGAGGAGATGTCATCTGATAGGTGACTGAAGTGCTGGATGTCTAAAGAGAACGATAAACCACTGAAACATTAGCAAACTCTAGCATTAAAGTATACGATGGCTTTGAACAACAGGAACATGATTTGGGACATTGGGAGTTTGAGGGTTGCTGGCAGTACTTTGGTTCAAAGCGGGGGCATGGGGAAGAGAAGGTCCCCCAGCAGTTGGACAGTATACCTCAGCACTGTCCTGCTGGTTCTCCTGGGACATTGTGGTGTTCTTGCTTTATTCTTCCTAACCAAGTGACCACGTCCATGTTTGCTGTCCACAGTTTCTTCTGCACGGTACCTGCCATCATGGTACACAACATCGTGATCTTCATGAGGTATGTTCTCTGTCCACTCTCCTGCTGGCTTTTCGCCGAGCCTGGGCCCCCTGGGAGCTTCCCACACTCACCAGAGGCAGGTGGCTAAGAGGAGGACCGTCGCCTGCCTCGCGGCGCAGACCCAGCCGACTCTCGGTGTTCTGTAGGGGTGGAGTGCAGAGCCCCTGCATAGGTTGCCAGGTGCCTGGTGAATAGTTAAACATAATGTCCTGGGGGCTGGAGAGGTGGCTCAGCACTTAAGAGCACTGGCTGCTCTTCCAGAGGCCCAGGTTTGAGTCCCAGGGTCCACATGGCAGCTCACAATTGTCTGTAACTCCAGTGTCAGGAGATCCGATACGTGCTTCTGGCCTCTGTGGGCACCACACATATATGTAGTGCACAGACACACATGTAGGCCAAACACCTATACACATAAAATAAGCGATTTCTTAAAAATTAAAAGAAATGTTCTGTCTGAAATGGGGTCTAGTTTAACTAAATGCGTGATCCCATCAGAGTAGAGGACAGACTAGTTTTCTCAAGGTAGAAGCACTAAGTATTGACTAGTTTACTCTCTGGTGACTGTTAAATGTGAAGATGGCAGGCTGTAGTAGCACAGACATTTGAAGTCTGAGGGTTGGAGTGAGGTGTGTCAGCGTTGGCACAGGTGACCTTTGGGCCCCTGAGTTCTCTGTTATCGGGGACTGCGCACTGTGGGTGCTTAGCAATGGCACCCCTTGTCTCCACTTGCTGCTGGGGGCGCTTACCACCCTCTGCCCGGCTCAGTTGTAACAACCCAAAGATACCCAGATGTTGCCCAAAGCTCTGGTGGGTAAGATCATCGCTGGTTAATAACCACTGGTCTAGAAGGTCACTCCATGACACAGCATGTTTGGACGTAGGTCCCCTGGCCTTCTGGTTACACAATCATGAAGATAGTTGCCTGGGACCCGGAGGAGTATCATGCCCTCAACTTGGAAGAAAACAGAAGTTTTTCCTGTTTATCTAGTCTCTTCGTGGTTTTCTTTTTGCCAGGACTTCTGTGAAGATCTCATACATTGGCCACATATCCCAGAGCACCGTGGAGACACAACACTATGTGGATTGTGGGGCGAATTCCACGGCTGTTTAGAGCCTGCCCTTAGTTCTCCCGTGGCTACACCTGTAGAAAGAAGCTGACATCTGTCCCACAGCCCAGCGTCCGTCCGTGCTGACCCCGCGTGGTGTAAGCGGAGGAGGAAGCGGTTCTCTTAACCCACAGAAAGCATCCTTCCGCACTCAGGAGAGAGCTGTCTTCACGGCACTTCGCGTTTTTCTTGGAACCAGCAGAATCACTGCCCAGTGCCTAGTCCGTGCCTAGCAAATAGTTTGCACTCAACTCCATCTTGAAGAGTTGAATTCAGACGTTTGGGCTGTCATTGAGTCATTATAAGTTGAGGTGAACCAGGGTTCTAGCTTTTCAGACCAGAGTGACATGAAGGTGGGATGCCGGGGTGCAGCTGTGGATGTGTGGGTACCTCATGCCCGTGCACAGAAGCACAGGGTGGGGGGGGACCTCCGGGGAGCCTCTGCCGCTGCATTTGTTACATTTGTTTCCATCTGTTCTCCAGGGCCCAGGGGCTTTGAAGAAAGGTTTGGGTAGTTTTTTCCCTTTCCCTTACAAAATTGTTACACACCCCCGACCCCGGTCTACTGTATGGCTTTGATGTAGCTTTGATCCACTGGCTGGACATGGATTGGGGGTTTGATAGAAAAATAAACCAAACTTTTGATTGCTCTGTCTCTGATTGCCTGTGTGCCTCTGCAAGCACCCATAAGAGGAACTTAGAAGAGTTGTTTCCTAAGGGGACCCCCGCAGGGTGTGCTGAGGGGAGAAAAGAGAAGGTACCCCAACTGTGTGTCCTCCTTGGCCCAGGAGCACCTTCAGATCAGCCACACAGCTGTGTGCCCAGCAGAGCGCTGCGCTTCCAGACCAGAGCACACAGCACCCTCTGGAGGTTGGAAATGACAGGCAGTCAGTCATGCCTGAGGAACAAGGAGAGGGTGACTTTTCCCAAGACCTGGTTTGAGGTGGGTTCCACTAGTCCCAGACTCAATCGCCTAGGCAGCCTCGGGCAGGAAGTGGTCAGGTCCAGAGCTCAGCCTCCAGGCTCCCACTGCCGCCCCCTGAGCAGCAGATGAGGACGGGGCTGATACTGGTTTTGCCCCCATTCTCCTGGCTTTTCAGTACCTTCACCCTTTGAATCTTCAAACCACGGTAACTAGTTTGCTGATAATGGCCATGATTTATGTAACAAAGGCAGGGCTTAGCGCTGTCATTGTGCTCATTAGGTTGCCCGCATGTCCACAGTTCTGGTGGCAGTGACCAGTGAAAAGCACACAGTCTTAAAAACCGATGCCCTAAAAATGACGCTCGTAAAACAGTGAGCTCCATGTCCAAGAAAACGTTTACACTGATTTCTTCAGTGTGTGTGTGTGTGTGTGTGTGTGTCTGTGTCTGTCTGTGCGCTCCATGTCCAAGAAAACGTTCACACTGATTTCTTCAGTGTGTATGTCTGTGTCTGTGTCTGTCTGCACACATGTGAAGAGGCCAAAGAATGTCATCTGTCTTCCTCAGTTGCTTTCTATCTTTCTTTCTTTTTTTTTTTCTCCTGACAGGGTTTCTCACTGAACCTGGAAATCAGACTTGTCTAGACTGCCTGGCCTGAAAGCTCCAGGGCTCCACCTGGCTCTGCCTCCTAGTGCTGGGTTATAGATGAACACCACCCTGCCCAGTTACTATGTGGATGATGGGGACCTGAGATCAGGTCCTCACGCTTCTGAGACAGGCACTACCCACTGAGCCATCTACCCACCCCTTGTTTTTTGTTTGTTTTCATTAAATATATATATATCTTCTGAAACGTTTTCTATATGGTTTTAAAAAAGCTCCTCATTGGATCATTTTTTGTGACCACGTGCCTCAGTAACATCTGTTGCTTGATATTACTGTAAAACCCAATTAATATCAAATAAGAGCAATTGAAGCTTTTAAACATGTACAGTTGGTTCTGGTTCTGTGAATTCTCACATCTAAACATATTCTTAGCATCCTAAACGTCACATTGGGATGCCCTGCATAGTTTAGCATGGTGTCTGTCAAATGTGTGTGTGTGTGTGTGTGTGTGTGTGTGTGTGTGTGTGTGTGTATGCACATATACATGTGTGTTCATGCATGTGGAGGCCAGGGGTCAACCTCAGGTATTCCTCAGGCACCATCGGGTGTTGTTTGTTTGTTTGTTTGTCTGTTTTTGAGACACGCTCTCACGGTGTTCGTGAAGTGGGACAGGCTGAGTGGCCAGTGGACCCTGGATCTGCCAGTCTCCTCCAGCACCATTATACCAGGGTTTTATTATTTTGTGTGCATGAGTCTTTTGCCTGTCACCTGTGTGCAGCGCCCTGGAGGGTCCCTGTGACTGGCGTTACAGATGATTGTGAGCTGCTATGTGGAGGCTGAACCACATAGCATGGACTTGAACCTCCATGGGTCCTCTGGAAGATCAGCCAACTGAGCCATCTCTCCGGCCTGGTAAGGTTTTTAAATGTGGGTTCTGGGGGTTGAAGCCTTTGCCCTTGTGGGCTGAGTGCCCATTTCCCTGGAGCTCAGCTCAGCCTTCACTACCCTCTCTCTTGACCTCACACTGCTGATGCTAGCCATCTGGTTGAGGACCCACTGTGTACAGAAATCTCCATTTGTTTGTTTGTATATTTACACATTCTCCCAAAGTGTTGAGGGTGGCCGTATGCATGACTTGCAATTTCTGACCCATTTTTCCAGCCACAGATAGGGATTTCTAACCATCATAAGCCACTTATGCATACCAGGCCCTAGTTTATCTCCAGGAGTTATTCTACCGTTCTAGTCACTCCACCATAAGACCTTCAAGATCTCTGTCAACTATCCTGGGAATTCTAGCCCAAAGTGTTAACAGATCAGTACAAGAATCTGCATAAATCAACAAGCCACAGGTTATTTCCCCTGGACAGAATAATCTTTTTCTTTATAAAAGAAATTCTTCATTACTTTGAAGATGCCATGTTCCTTTGGTTATTTAAAGGGGAAACTCCTTTGGTTATTTAAAGGGGACGTGTCTTTCAGGAAGTGAGCAGGCGGGAAACTTGACAGTACGTCTTACCTGGAGCTTGGACATCTGGCTCCTACTCTAAAGTCTTAATGGCAGATACTTCCAGAGAAAAGAACTGCAAGGTAGGAAAGTGACCCGATCAAGCCCTGGTGATCAGTGGGTCACTCTGCTCAGCCCTGCTGGCTCAGGAATGTACTTGATTCATTGTTCTGTCTGGAGAGACCTCAGGGATCCAGGACTTCATAATAGTCCCGATGGTCTTTGCCTTCCTCCCTGGGCCAGGTTGGGATGCAGAACAAGAGGCCAAGCATGCCTTTTCACTTGGCCTTTGGTCCTCACTCTGCTCCCCACTCAGCCCCTCCATTCCGCTCTGGGAACAGTTGCAATTGTGTCTAGGTTTTCCTGGGCAGGAAGTGGGTAGGCTACAAGGAATGACCCGGGAACCCCGTGGCTTCCCATAGAGCTTCCCAGCCATTGGGGTCTGCTGGACATTTTATTCACTCACAATGGTCACTGTGGAGGGTCGTGGACCAAGTCGGGAAGTTCTGATTCTCACCTCAGAACAGCTCTTCAGCTCCACCTGCTGTCTGAGACAAGTTTCACACGTGCCCTCCCAGTGGGCGGGGCCTCCCCTTTGCCTTCACTAGCTCTCCACTGATGGGAGTTGCTTAGTCTTCCTGATTATGGGGGGGGGGGGGGGGGGGGCGGGCGAGCATTAGGACTCAAGCCCAGGCAGGGGTTTGCATCCTGCTCGGGAAGCGCTCCACCACTGAACCACACTTCCAGCACTGATCATGTGTGTTTACACATGACGTGGCCGTTATACTTCCTTCAGCTCCACGAGCTAGCCCTGGTACTAGCACTTCATTCCGTTATTTTTACATCACAAGTTGAATATTAATGCACATAGTCTCCCCAAATTCTCTTTTTTATTTTTCTTACTTCTCTAAAAGAAAAGCTGCCAGCTTTAAACGAAGGGAGCGAGATGGGTAAGAGGGCCGGAGAGCAGCGTGGCTGTCGCGTTCATGAGATGTCTTGAACTTGGTTTCACAGATACCTGCTGTCATGGCATTTCCCTCCTGCCCACTTCACACATCACCACCCTCATGAACCCCTAGTGCTCATCTCTGCCACACACACACACACCCGAGGCATTGGATCCCTGGCCACAGGGCGAGGGAGGCTTCCCTTCCTGATCTGGAATCCAGAGAAGGTCCAGAGACGTTTTCAGCGCAGGTCTAGGGAATGGAGAACGGGGACCGGGGCGAGGAGGGACGGGACCGAGCGCCGTACTTTCTGCTCTCCTTGCCCCAGAATCCTACGGAAAGATGCAAATAATCATCCAGATCGCTTGCAGCGGTGGCCCCTGGGGGATTGGCTCCCCTGCCCACTGTCCCCCTTTCCACCCCACTTTCCACGAGGAACGTCTCCCATCTCTCTCACCCAGCAGCCTGTAGCTGTCCTGCCCACACATGCTAAGAGCTCGGTGCACCATGCCTATCTCCAGCTTGCTGGAGAGGTGTGCTCCATGTTCACTCTCAAGAACAAGGTCATCTGTCTGCTTCCGCAGACTTCCCAAACAATGGATCTAAAGTTTGAGTGGAGTGTCCCTCAAAGGTGTGTGTGCTGAGGTTTGGTCCCGGGGTGATGCTCTTAGGTGGTGGAGCCTTGAGAGGCAGGACATGGAGATCCTCGGGTCACTGGGGACAGACTCTCAAAGGGGTCTCTTCCTCTCACTCTGCTTCCTGGCTTGTGGCATGAGCAATGGCTTTGATGATGCTCCTGCTATGACACACTGCCTTCACCTAAGGTCCAAGTTAGTACGACTACCTGATTTTGTAAACAAATCCAACAAAACAGTCATTTTCTTATCCTACTTTTTTTTTTTTTTAATCATTTTTAGTCTCAAAACTGTGAACCAAAATGAACCTTGTTTTATTTCTTAGGCAACCCATGTCAAGTGTTTTGCTTCAGTAGCACGAGGCTGATTCAATTTTGTCTCTGGTCCCAGGTCACCACTGGATTCCACAAAGTGCCCAAGTTTACAAAAGACACCCCCCCCCCCACCCCACCCCACCCCGCGCCTCTCTCCCTCTCTCCCTCTCTCCCTCCCTCCCTCCCTCCCTCCCTCCTCTCCACCTCCCCCCCACCCCATGTGTGTGTGTGTGTGTGGCCACCACACCAGGCAGTGTGGCCTCAGTGTGGCCTCAGAATCTGGACTGAAAGGTCACCAGGCAGCCCTGGGACCATATTTGGGCATGCCTACAGGATCAAAGTATTAATAGAAACAAACAGAAGAACAAAACACAAGCCAATATGTCCTTTCCAATAATTTTTTGGTTTTTAATATCAATTGATGTTTTAAAAAATACAGAGGTGTTTGACACAGAATAGCACCATTGTGTAGGACACAGTTCCTGCGCCCAGCACCTGGGGGGGTCTTCTGGCTGGGCTGGGGGCAGTCACTCAGGGGGGTGTTTGACTCACACCAGTTAGTTCCCTGCCTCTGCCTCGACCCAAAGGTCTTACAGGAAGACAATAAATAAATAGAACACCGAGATTTTATTTTGCAGTCTGCCCGGTTCAGGTCTCTCAGAAAGGGGGAAAATAGTCCGAACTGCGAGGGTTGGATGAATGGACGTCAGGTCAGGTTAGCCA